CCAAGTTTTGAGCCAGGGAGAAGGTAGTGGCTGGGACTCAAGATGGAAACTAGGGTCTGCACTCCTGAGTGAGAGGCATGTGTGAGAGCTTGGAAAAAGACTGGCTCCAGGACATGAGGCTATAGCTGCCCAAGTGAAAGGGAAAACCACGCAGCTTTGCCAGAATGGAGATTCCTGCAGCCAGGTGAAGAAGAAAGCCACATGCTTTTGATGGAGTGCAGACTCCTGCAGCTTTGGTAGAAGAGGCCCACGCGGCTTTGGGGTGCCCCCTTTGGCCGCAGGGCCTGAAAAGCAAGAGAGACTTTGACTGGAACTAGGTACAAAGGACTCTTGCCAGTGGACCATGAGAGGGTACCACAGTACTTTGGATTAACTCGAGATCCTGCACAGTGACACAGCTGATGGTGCCAGCGGCCTGAAAAAGGGACGTGTGCTCTTTTCCTGATTTACGGTACCCGGAGTTGTGACAGTGGGAGAAGGGAGAGCTGTATGGGTATAGGTGTATACCCTAAAGGACTTTGCTATTTTAGTGGTGGCATTCGGCCTGAATAACATTAAATAAACATTTTGTTTCCTTTTCACAAATCTCTGGCATTGAGAGACGTCTTTCCAATTGGCGGCGGACAGAAGAGCCCAGTAGATATCAGTATTTTGTTTTTGGGAGGGGCCCCTGTTGTATAGCAGTTTTGGGCATCCCTAGGTGGGCCAAATATTGTATTGCCCCTCCCTCGGACCTCTTGTTCGGTAACAAGATCACCACTTCCTGACGTCCACAAGCTGGGTGGTCACAGGTATTAGGAGATGCATAGAAACAAAACCCGTGAGAGTCGCCGTCAAGTGTAAAAGTGGCTACATTTAGGTGGCAAGATTCCCAGTGGACTTCTACTTATTCTTTTAATTGTGAACTGTTTACATTTCTCCATTATCATGACCTATTTTTCAACACACAATTAACATAGGTTTAGAGTGGAAGGTAGACAGCATGTGTGTATTCTTTGTAAAACTACATTGCCTTGTGTTTCATGCCAGTACCGAATCCTGGTTATCCAGGAAAGAATAATAACAATACAAATAGTCACAGCAACCTCTTAGCAGAGTCCAACATGGGCAGTGAGTCATAGATGCCAGAGAGAAACATCCTAAATGTCCTTTTCCCGCTGTCTTTCCAGCACCCTCCACACCAGAGCATGGCACAGCTCCTCATCTTCCCACTCTTTCAAAGCCACCCCCCAAGTTCCCAAAGAGCTCAGTCTTGGCTTTCTCCTGAGAATCCCATCTCTATTCCTTCCTCATCGAATCCTTTCCTGTCCTCCAAATAGAAATAGATTTTGTCCTTGTGGACTTGACGTTCACTTCTGCACTCACTGGCAAACCCAAAAGCTATGGGGTGGAGGAGTGGACAAGCATGTTTACCATGCTGGTATTTACCGATGTGACATATGCCTCACCTTACACAGAGACTCTGTGCACACCTCTATGTACCATGATGATCCTGCCTCAGTTATTTCCCCCAGAAATATGTGAGCTGCAAGAAGCCAAGTGCAAGAAAAGATAACAAGGATCTCCTATGTTATTTGTTAATATTTGATTCATAGAACTTCTGGCCAAGACAGACAGAGAGGTGGATCCACTGTACCTCCTCGCACAACCGAAAAAAGGACAACAAATTTAAAAACAAAAAGCAACCAGAACTGACAGAAAATCAAACTGTATGGGAGGCCAACAGCTAAGGAGTTAAAGAAGACACACTCACCCGAACCTGTAGGAGTGGCAGAGACAGGCAGCCAGGCAGGGAGGACTCGCAGCGATGAGGCAGCCAGAGGACCAGGGTGGGCAGGCAGCAGCTGGTGGAGCCAGTGAGGCAGTGGCTGGCAGACCAGGTGGTCCCACATTTCTGAGCAGATAAACTTAAAGGAACAACTGGGGAGCAAGACAGATTGCACAACCCAGGATTCCAGCACAGGGAAATAAAGTCTCAAAGCCTCTGGCTGAAAACACCTGTGGGGGTTGAGGTGGTAGGAGAAACTCCCAGCCTCACAGGAGAGTTCATTGGAAAGAACAAAAGGGTCCTAGAATGTACACAAACCCACCCACCTGGGAATCAGCACCAGAAGGGCCCAATTTGCTTGTAGGTAGTGGGGGAAGTGACCGAAATCCAGCTGAGAGCTGAGCTGGCCACACTGTTCCCTCTTGGACTCCTCCCCACATACAGCATCACAGCACAGCCACGTGGGTTGCCCCACCCAGGTGAACACCTAAGGCTCCACCCCCTACTATGTAACAGGTGCACTGAGACAAAGAAATATGGCCCAACTGAAAAACAGATCAAAGCTCCAGAAAAAATACAACTAAGTGATGAAGAGATAACCAATCCATCATATGTACAGTTCAAAACACTGGTAATCAGGGTACTCACAGAGTTGGTTGAGTATGGTTGCAAAATAAAGGAAAAAGTGAAGGCTGTGAAAAGTGAAATAAAGGAAAGTGTACAGGGAACCAAGAATGATGTGAAGGAAACTGGGACTCAAATAAATGGTTTGGAGCAGAAGGAAGAAAGAGACATTTAACCAGAACAGAATGAAGAAACAAGAATTCAAAAAAAATGAGGAGAGGCTTAGGAACATCCGGGACAACTTTAAACAGTCTAACATCTGAATCATAGGGATGTCAGAAGGAGAAGAAGAAGAGCAAGAAATTGAAAACTTATTTGAAAAAATAATAAAGGAGAACTTTCCCAATCTGACAAAGGAAATGGACTTCCGGGAAGTCCAGGAAGCTCAGAGAGTCCCGAAGAAGTTGGACCCAAGGAAGCACACACCAAGGCTCATCATAATTATATTAGCCAAAATTAAATATAAGGAGAGAATCTTAAAAGCAGCAAAAGAAAAGGAGACAGTTACCTACAAAGGAGTTCCCATGAGACTATCAGCTGATTTCTCAAAAGAAACCTTGAAGGCAAGAAGGGGCTGGAAAGAAGTATTCCAAGTCATGAAAGGCAAGGACCTACATCCAAGATTACTCTATTCAGCAAAGCTATCATTTAGAATGGAAGGGCAGATAAAGTGCTTCCCAGACAAGGTCAAGTTAAAGGAGTTCATCATCACCCAGCCCTTACTATAAAAAGTGTTAAAGGAACTTATCTGGGAAAAAGAAGACAAGAAAATATGAACAGTAAAATGACAACAAACATAACTATCAACAACCAAACATAAAGAAAACAAAACCAAAAACAAACTAAGCAAACAACTAGAATGAGAACAGAATCACAGAAATGGAGATCACATGGAGGGTTATCAGAGGGGAAGTGGGAAAAGGGGGGGTGGTGGGAAAAGTACAGGGAATAAGTAGCATAAATGGTAGGTAGAAAATAGACAGGGTGGGGTTAAGAATAGTACAGAAAATGTAGAAGCCAAAGAACTTATATGTACGACCCATGGACACAAACTAATCCGGGGGAGGAGGTTGGAGCAGGAATGAGGGTGGGAGGGGGTGTGCAGGGTGGAGGAGAATAAAGGGGGAGGGGCAAATTGGACAACTATAATAGCGTAATCAATAAAATATATACTTTTTAAATATTTGATTTATATACTTTTATTTCTTCATTCTCATCCTCACCCAAGAACCCCTTCCCACTGATTCTAGAGAGAAAGGAACATTGATGTGAGAGAGAAGTCTCAATCAGCTGCCCTTTGCATGTGCCCCAACCAGGGATCAAACTCACAACCGAGGTATGTGCCCCAATGAGGAATCAAACCCCCAGCCAAAAGCACGCACAAACACACATTCACACACACCCTCCAACATACTTCATGCCCTTTTGAAGACAAAAACAGTATCTACCAACTGTTAATCATTTAAGAAGCTAGTTTCCCCACTTTAAAAAGAGAGTCTGGGGAAATGGCTATAAAGGTGGATTGGAGCCCAATATTAAAACTCCGCCCTTTCCTGGCTCTGGTGCACTTTACTCTCCTGCACTGTGGGCCAGAGCTCAGCACAGAAACGTCCATGGTTATCCAAGGCTCCATTAACCCTTATTTCGCATACTTGGTATTTAAATGAACAAACACTGCCTGCACTGCACCTGACACCAGCTCTCCTCTCCAGACTGACCATGTGCAGAACGTCAGAGAAGTGCTCCAGCACCGACTAGTAACCGTGCCTGACATTCCTGCAAAGGCACGTGGTGCCCAGTTACAAGTAAAACGTTCCATGAAAATGTCTCTGGGACCCGTCACCTTCAGTACATTCACACAGCGTTTAGTAACTGACTTCTGCTATCAAACAGCTCCTGGGGAAGGACCTAGAAAAGACGTGGAACACCTACATTACTGCACCCCTTTGAAGGCATGCACCCTCCTCACCACCATCACCACCTATGTGAGGCCCAGAATGGGCACAGGAGTGAGGGCACCAGGATCAGCCTTCATCTTCTTCACCAGTCGCTTCTGGCTGACTCCGAGAGGCCCCTTCCCTGGGCTCCCGCCAACTGTCCCTCATAAAGGAGGTCCACGGGGACGCACAGCCAGTGGGCACATCTATGCCCATGGACGCCCCTGGATCCCATGCTGCAGAAGCTGTGTCTGAGGGATTTCCTCTGTGCCTTCACCCGTAAAGCTCCGGTTCTGCAGAACAGGCCCAGCGCTCACGGGATCCCAGACACAGCAAGGCCTGTTCTGTGACGGGGGGGCTGAGCCCAAACACGTCCGATGAAAAGAGATGTCTCTTGAACAGAGAATACGCATGAACGATGTGGTTGTGAAGATATTTAAGTATTTGTAGGCTATTTTTTTAAAGCTAATAAGGTTTTGTTTTTTTATAGCCAAAAAAATAAGCCACCAAAAAAAGTTGTGTCTGTCTTGTATAATAAGAAGAAAAGAAGAAAAAGAGTTTTGCCAACACTTTTTTATTTAGTAGTCATGTTCTAGTTGATTCCATATACGTGATATATATATATATATATATATATATATATATATATGCTGTTTTTTTCACGTGCAGAAATAAAAATGCAGAAACAACAAGGAAATGAAGTCAGAAGTGAGTTTCTTCCAGAAAAAGGACTCTGTGTAGTCTTAATCAAGGATCTCAAATTGGGGTTAATGTCTCGAAAAGCAGCGCCTGCACAAACGAGTATGAGAAAACACCGTGGAGTCATAATTTGGATTTGGGGAACGGGTCGCAGCATGGGAAGATGAACAGGCAAGTGGCTAAACCCCTGATTGGACCTTAGAACAAAAGGTCGGAGTGTGTCCCGGGGGAATTCAGCCAAGTCACTTTTCTCCTTTATTTGGGTGAACCTTACTCTAAGTCTGTGTTAGCAGGTATGCCTTTGGGAATATGAATAATGTCAGGGACCATCAAAAACATAATTTACCTGAATTTCCACAAACCAGCTATGACTGTGAAGCATGGAGCCCTACCTCTGTGGACAAGAGGAGGGTGAGGCCTTTATCACGATGCAGGTAAGTTTGTCTCCTCCAGCCTTACCTGCCTCTTTGGCATAATGCAAACTTACTATTTTGAGGAATTATGGGGTCTGTCTTGGACTATGCATCAAAATAAGGCAGCTGAGAGTTTGGGGGAAATTATCGTAGAGAAAAGTGACACGTTGTCAGAAGGTACACATTTTACCTGCAGGAAGGAAAGGGCTCAGAGTCTGCCCATCAGAGCCAATCAGAGGTGCTGAGCTCCAGAAGCTCCAGGAAAGAAAAGTAACCACCACCATCTTTCTTGCTGAAGTGCAGGTGGCTTCTGTTTGATTGACGATTGTCTTGCTTGATTATATTCCCCTTCATTTCACAAAGGATTTGAGATGGGTCTGAAAAGACACACAGAAACATAAAGATTTGGTGAAATCATGGCAAAGGAAAAATAGAGCTACATAAATCAAAGTTGAGGGGAAAGATTAACAGAGAAATATATGATACACAGTGCTCTTCACAACTAGAATGGACAGAGCAGCGGACATCAGGGTTTCTTCCAACCAAGTCGGGCAGAGAAAGTTGAGCCCCATTTAACATTGTCTCCATAGCATTTAAAGTGCAGAAAATGTGCATAGAAAATGATTTTGCAGGGAAGGGCCTTGGACTGTATGGAGAGAGACAGAGAAAACATATATACATACACATACACACAACATTATCTTTCAACCAGGGACAGGTTTACCCTCCAGGTAGCACTGGCAATGTCTGAAGACACCTTTGGTGGTGACAGTGACAGGGAGAAGGGTGGTGACGACACTGAGGACCTAGTGATGGAGGCCAGGGGTGCTGCTCAGCCTCCTGCAATGAACACACAGGACAGCCCAACTGCAAAAAGAGGGATCTTGCTCACAGAAGAGCCAGGGCTGAGAAACTCTGACCTGAGGGTGGAGAGAGTGAACAGAGAACAGTGAGCAAGGGTGAGGCAGATCAGCATTAACTGGCCTGGGAGGATCTCCAAGACATAATGCTAATGGAAAAAAATCAATATTCTGAAAAATAAATATATCTCGATGGCACCACTAGCAAAGAAGGACCAAGCTGTGTTCCTAGATGTGTCCATATTGGCATGTAACACAAAGACAGCCTTCTGTAGGGGAGAAATGGGATTGGGGGAGATGAAGGGCCCTCCTGCAAACAGTCACACCGAGACTGGCACTCCAGCCCATGAGCTTTGAGGGGACACAGGTCGGCACATCACATCTGTCATTACGGCAAACACACGAAGGTGGAGCAGGTTGAACAGAACACGTTGTGTTGAGGGGGCCCCGAACTAGAACCGAAATCAAACTCTGAGAATGATATTAGGAAGGTGTGAAGTATAACTTATGCATCTTACGATATACAGCCCCCACGGTACCTGAGGCTGTGTGCCCCACAAACTACAGATACATGGAGGGAGAAAAATCGTGAGCTGAGTGATCGAATTCAGACACTGAGAATACAGATGTATGCATACATGATATGTAGCCTCATAAGTACGTACAAACACATATGTACATACATATATACAAATATAGGTGTGTAAACATTGTATATAACATATAACACATTAGCCTGGCATGTATATATGTATGTGTGTGTACATAATCTATACACATGAATAAATGCATGACAAAAATAAGTTTTTATAAATACAACATATAACTATATATAATTTATAAATTATATATAAATACATATATAGTATCTATTTATTCTAACAATATGTATTAACATACCATAATGTGCACCAAAGCCCTGTGATTCATACAAGTATGTTCTCAGTCTACAATCTGAATCTAAATATACCTCTTATAAATGAATGCAAATGGTTAAAATTAGATAAACAGACCAAAAAATAATTTTTTCAAGCTTAGATCTTCTTAGATTAGCCAATACAGCAAATTAAACAGACCTGCCTCTTCTCAAAATGCCCATGCCAATGGAATAGAATAAACATTTCACTGGCCCTGGCTGGTGTGGCTCAGTGGATTGAGTGCTGGCCTGTGCACCGAAAGGTCGCTGGTTCAGTTCCCTGTCAGGGCACCACCTGCCTGGGCTGCAGGCCAGGTCCCCATTTGGGGGCATGTGATAGGCAACCGACTGATGTATCTCTGGCACTCATGTTGCTCTCCCTCTCTTTCTCCCTTCCTTCCCTTCTCTCTAAAAATAAATAAATAAAATCTTAAAAAATATATTTCATGAATGGGACCAGAGTGATTTATGAGAGGAGATACTGTGTACTTTATGGGACCACATTTTTAGGTCATCACCCCCCTTTACCTCCACACCTTACAGAGCGAGACAAACAACCTTAAAGGAAATGGTCCATTCCTCACCTAGGTGTTGATGGTATGTACTATAAAGTTTAAAATGGGCTTCCTTGTACGGTATCCCAAGTCTCTCGGAAAAGGACAGAGGTCACTGTGTATTGTTACACCACCGTATTAGCCAGCCCGGGCCACCAGAACAAAATGCCATGGACTGAGGCTTCAACAACAAAGCCTCATGTCCACACAGTCTGGAGGCTAGAAGCCCAAGGTCAGCCTGCCACCACGGTCGGCGTCTGGCGAGGGCTCTCTTCCTGGGGTGCAGATGGCCACCTTCTGGCTGTGAGTCCACAAGGCAGAGAGAGAGAGAGCTCGGGTCTGCTCCTCTTCTGGTAAGGACACTACTCCCTTCCTCAATCCCACAGCCTCAGGCCCTCCCTTAAAGCTAAGTTCCTCCCCGGGCCCCAGGTCTGAGTATTGTACCATTGCCCTTTTCCTTGGAATATCTGTCTCCAATTTTCTCCACTTGTCAAAACCTTACTAATTCTTCAAAACACACCCCCCCACATGTCATCTCTTTGTTAAAGCTATTTTGCCCTGTACACCCAGCCCCCACCCAGACATGACGCACAGCGTCAAGGCCTGTTGACATGTTTGTTACTCTTCTGACCTGCATTCATGGTTATGTGTGTGGCGCTGTATCATAAATCACACCAGGGCATAATTATCTGTGTTATCTTTGACCAGTCCAGCCCATGGGAGACCATAATTAACAGTAGTTCGATAAAAGTAGGTCTAAAAATAAAACAAGGGAAACTGCTCAGAGTTTATGTTTGTATTTTATTGAGAGATTTTTAGGAGAGCATCTAGAATGAGTCTATGGCCACAGTAAGGACAGAACCCTTAGGGAAGAGCAAGAAGACTCAATGCATAGACAGAAAAGAACTGGGAGAAGTAAACGCAGTAGAAATCATTACCACATTTTGCTAAGCTCAGTAATCAATTGCCCTCCATTTTTTTTTCCTTGGGTGACATTGTATGAAATGTCCACATGATTACCTTAAAAATAGTGAAAGTTACTTAGATTTAGAGCATGAGAACCAAGGAGGACAGTGCCAGAAAGCTGAAGCAACAGGGAGACCATGGAAGCAGGCAGACGAGGGAGGAAAGCCTTAGACAGGAAGCAAGTGGAAGTCCCCGCATTACCTGCCAACCGGCCACCTAGCAGCAGCACTGCCTCTGGCAGCAGCACTTCTGCTGACAACAGCCCTTCCCCCAGCCGCAGCCACAGCCACAGGAGCCACAGCCACAGGAGCCACAGCCACCTGAGCGGCGGCAGCAGCAGACCACGGGGACGCTGCAGCAGCCCCCGCAGCAGCCACAGCAGCAGGGGCAGCAGCGAGAGCAGCAGCCGACCCGGTAGGTTCTGCAGGTGGTGCAGCCGCCACAGCCACCACCACAGCCACCGCCACAGCCACCGCCACAGCCGCCACAGCCGCCACCACAGCCACCACAGCCACCACCACAGCGGCCACCACAGCCACAGCACCCCATGGTGTCAGTAGAGAGGAGTCAGGAGAGGCGAGCAGGGAGACTCAGGAGGTGAGGGAGGTCTGATGCCCCTCCTGCGGGGGGAGCCCTTTTATACCCTCTCCATGAGCTGAGCCCAGAGTAAACAAACAGTTAGCATCTTGTTGTTTATCCCACTTCCCATAAAACACCTCACGAGGCCTCTTATGTCCTTCCTTGTTGAAGTCTTTGCCAGGTAATATTGTTAATTTTAACTTTGACTCGACTCTTAAGTCTAAATTTGGATTAGAACACACTTCTGAGGATTTTTGAGCCCTAAGAACTTAAGCATGTACATGTTTTGCCCGAGGGCCTACAATAATGCCTGGCTCATTGTAAGTATTCAACGGAAGTCCGTTGAGTTAAATAAATGTCCAAAATATTTAAGAATAATTCTTATGTTTTTTATAACCACGAAAGTATGAATGCAGAGCCAGGTAAAATCACTATGTTTCTGTATATACTTTTTAGTCATCATAGCTTAGAAAAAAGATTATTTTCCTCTCCTGGGGTTCATTATACACCCCTAAATTACTAAAAAAAAAGCTCTAGAAAGAAAGAGAGGTGAAAAACATTCAAAACAGAAAGAGTAAACATCTTTAAATGTGTTTTATGTCATATCTCACCATTAAAAAACCACAGAGATGCACTCTTTCTGCATCTCGGCTTCTTTGTTCACAAGAATTTTTTGGTTATTGGAAATGTCAAAAGTAGTAATCATGTGATGTCAGATGCTAAAAATATAATTCTGTGCAGCCGGCTCCTAAGTCAGCTTCCTGGAGTACGGTTTCTGCTTGTGGTTCGTCCCTTCGGTCACTGGAAAAGTAAAAAGGAAGGCTTCGCCAGCAGCTGGCCTCCTCCCGGCCTCTCAGGGCGAGGACCCGTGGCCAGGCCCGGCACGCGGCCAGCCACGGTCCAGGGAAAGGCTTATTTTCAACGATCCGTTTCCACAGTTGTGCCCGATGCCCTCCACCTCCTGCACAGGTAGCCGTGGGTACCATCGGTCGCCCACGGAGGCATGTTCTCGCTTCACTGTCTTGAGAACTCAGGCCAGACGAGCTCATCCTCGTGATGCAGATGACTCCCCAGCATCTCTTGGAACTTGCAGCTTCTGGGTCTGAGACAACACGGCTTGGATGGGTCTGCTTTTCCCCCAGGGTTGGTGGCCCTGGATTCACCCCTGGCACCTCATTGACAGGCTTACCTTTCAAAAGCTGGGCAAGGAAGCCTTGAAATGCCCTCCCTTGATCTACTTCTCATCAAACAGAAGGCTGTCGGGTGCTTCTAGCCCTCCATCTGCACGGCCCAGGGTTCTAAAGACGCTGCCTGCACGGGGACTCGGGAACGGCCGAGATGGTCCATGTCTGGGATGGTCCACGCCTGTGACACTGGCCCGACCTGTTGTCCTGTACTCTGGCAATCATTTCTCTGCCTCTGGACTAAGATACAACACACAGCTGTCTCCAAGGAGGCTGCCGTGTTAAAAATAGCAATGTTATCAGAGCAAAGGTATTCAA